ACAGTCGGTGAGTGGGTAGACGGAGATCACGAATAGGCATCCGTTGGTCTCACGATCCTCTCTAGTCCTTACAGATCCATTCGGTCAAACAGCACATAGACGGCTGTTGACTGGTATCCAGTCGCGTAGTGCACTTTCTGCCCAACAGCTCAACGCTATGACTACACCAGGGAGTCCATAAGAGCTAGTCATCGGGTCTCTGAATACTCCTAATGTGAATTTTGAAGATTCACCACTATGGTCACGTGAGGTCAATTTAATAGTCAGACTCGGGTCCTGTATACGCGTCTCATAGACCCAACATACATCCATGGATAGAGTTCGGGAAAGCGATGCTTGCTGGCACAGAGTACGGGCGTTGAAACCTCCTACATGAAATCGATGGCGAGGTCTTAGGAGACCAGAAGTGAGGTTTTGTTCGCTTTGATCGTTGACAAAGGTTGCAGAATGGGGTTGGGTAAGGCGTAATAGGCTTAATATCAGTGTCAGGAGGTAAGGCAAGGGAGGAGACAGTTGGAGAGGTCAGGTTATATTTGATTGGGTTTTGTGTACTACTGGAAGTTTGCAGGCGGTTGACAATTCCAGGCTGCCTACACCGTGGAAACCTACTTCTTTTTGAGGTACCTGAAAAAGAAAAGGATTTGTGTGACCTCAGGGTCCATGGAACACCTGTCACACACAACCTTTTGTGGGATGTTGTTTTGAGGTTTAGTTGTTCTAACACCGGATAGACAGAACCCATACCGCTGGCACTGGAAGACCATGAGGCAGGGAGGAGTGCGCTATTTTTGAAACTGACCTTTTCTAATCCCCATTCCATTGAGAAGCCAGCATCATCATGGCACTGCTGATCATCCAAGGGAAACACCTTACTGCCATCACACCCAATCCAGCTAGCAGCAGTACAACTTCGCCCTCAGAACCCTATCACAGTGTAGTAATTCACACTACAACGGTAACTGCTTTTCGTCTTACCACTATCCAACAGACCTGTCTAGTATGGTAGGACCTGGAAGGAACAAGCGTTTCACAAGCATAGCTCGTTGGATCATTATGATACGCAGGTCTGACCACCACATCAAGGTAGCGGCTATATATATATATATATATATACATATGTATATGGGAATCGGAAAGCGGATAGTAAAACAACTTTATAGTCTGTTAAACATTTGAACCTAACTAGGATTAAGTCTGAAACTAGTGCCTTCACTACCAGGTGAAATACAACTGTTAAAATACTTGGACTGTAAAATGTAGTTCAATAACGCACATTTGTTCGCAGTAACCTATGAATGATATCGATTACTAATGCTTAGTTGTTCGAGTGAATGGATCTAAGAAATCATGTTAGCAAGGAGGAAATAATATGATAACAAAAAATCACCCTCGCAATTTCTTCGGCTTCTTTTTTACGCTGAGTCTCCTCAGCTTGACGAATAGCCTGTTCTTCTTTCAACCGAAGTTCTTCTTCAGCAGCTAACCTAGCTTGCTCTTGTTGCATACTTCGCAAACGATTTTCTTCTTCTACGCGCCTAAAAGGAAATGACAATAATTAAAGAGCACATTCAATGCAAATAACTCGCTTTTAATGTCATATGATGTTCAACTATATGAAATTCCATTTGCAGTAATACCTCAACGCATGATACGTTCGGTTCTATTTCATCTTTTTTTAGTCCATGTACAGAAGCCTAAACGACGTGCGATGGCCCGTTCTGTCCAACAGTGGCTTTTGTGAACACTTTTACCTTTACATATGGTTTCCTGCATACTTCATAATAGTCGAATATTTTCAGTCGTTTCTAAACAGCAGTGTAGCATTCTCGATTTCAAAGAGACATGAAATTTCTCTGCGCATGGAGAGCTGTTGATAGTACAAGAACAACTGAATTGACAGTAGGATTTTGTGATGGTAGATTGAATAACAGAAATGTAAATGTTACAAGTTTATTAAACGACTTGGATCTGTTTGTTGGATGAAAGTTCCTCTATAAGTTGACTAGATTACTTGCGCTATTTAGATGATAGTAATGGTGAAACAAATATGGCCTACTATCCTATTAACATTTAAGGTAGATATAATATACATGACAATTAATCTCGCTCACTCAAAAATGTCTTAGTTACATGTACTCATACCTTACTATGCACACTCACCTTTTTTCTTCTTCTTCTTCTTTTTGTCTTCGTTCCTTGGCTAAGCGCCGTTGTTCAATCAACTTCGCACGATAAACTGCGGCTTCCATTTCGGACAAAACTACACCATCACCCGACCCATGAGTTTCAGCTTTTATTGGACCAACTTGAGATGCGAAAGCCAAAAGATCATCCTTCACATCAACAACTTTGGAAGAATCAGGTGGTGCGGACTTGTCAGAAGAAACAATAGCATCTGAAAAACCTTCTGTAGTAAATGCCTTAATTTCTGATTCAGAAAGGGACAGAGACTGAGGCACTGTAGGAAAACTAGCAGTAGCTGTTCCGGATTCCTTAAAAGATTAATAACAATTTACCATTAACGGACAGTAAAAAATGAATATACAGAGCATAATTAATTGACTAAACGAAAACAACGCAGAAACTCAAAGCAAAATCTGTGAAGCAGTAAATCTGAACTAATTCGAAAATTAATAATGGTGACTGTTTATGATCACAAAAATAAGACACCCATAGCACAGCGCAAGTGCGGTCAGCTGCACTAGTAAGACATTAACTTATAGTAGTACAGTAATTCCAGACATGTATCAATAATTATCCATCACAGCAGCTATGAAAAAAGAGAACTGAACTCCATGAAGAATGATTCCAGAGAATATATGCTTGAAGACTTCTTTGTGAAATGTGACTAAGTTTAGAGAATAAACAAATCAGGGGAAAAACAAGTGATGACAGCGACTACTTCGATAAATTACTTACCTCAAAAACACTTAAACACTTACAGAAAGTGTTCCACTCAAAGCTCCGGTAAACCTGCACTCATAATTGAATACTAGTAGGAAATGACATCACAAAAGAACTTCTTCAAAATGAACAACCAACAAATTTCAATGACAGACAGTAAATCCACACACTTAAGTTCGTTACAGACGCATCAAAGCAAATAACCTAATGCAAACCTGATCCTAGAATCCACAGATATCTGATGCCTAACTGGAGCTGGAGAACAGCGAATTCGAGAGAACCAGGCAGGTTTCAAACCTGGATGAGAGTGTGCCGCTTGGATCTTAACCCTTCACACAGGTCCTGATACACAGGCATACTTCTTGACATCCAACATTTACCATACTCTTTTGATCTGAGGGCGGCATTCAACTCTGTCAACCGTGAGGTGTTGTACCATTGTCTGACTGTCCAGGGATTATCAAGCAAGTATATAACGCTAATCAAAGCCCTCTACTCGAACTCAAGCAGACATATAAGCGCTTATGGAGAGTAGCCGTGTGAATTGACAACAGGGATGTCTACTCTCACTGTTCTTATACAACACCCTTATAGATGCACTAATGGGCATAACCTTATGGACATCTGACTTCACAGGGACTGATCTACACCCTAGATACAATCTGGTTGACTTATAGCATGCTAACGGTATTGTCCTTCTTGGTGGAGACACTGGTCCAATGCAGGGTTTTCTGAACGCGTTCAGAAATCTGAGTATGCTTGACATGCGTTTCGCACCTGTCAAATGTGAGATGATGCTGCAAGGCGACTGCTGTGTAACTACTCCTAGTTCAAGGAGGGAAAGTAAAGTGGTGGAATGTGTCGACCACTTGGTTGCTGACGGAATTTCAGCTCTGATTCAGAAGGTTGGTTCAGCATTTGCCAACTTGTGTTATGTCTATCACGGACTGGCGCGATATCCGAATATCTATCAAATGACGAGTGTACAGCACTGCACTCTCTCCTACCCTGTTATACGGCGTCAAAAGAGGAAGACATGAAGCGGTTTCAGGGTTTTGATCACAGATGTCTTGGTAAGACTGCTCGCGTTTGGTGGGATCACCATGTGAACAATCTCGAAGTCAGGCGAAGAGTACCAAGCAAGACAGGCAAGTCGATTGATGAGGTTGTGAACCTCAGTCGACTGAAATGGTTAGGACATGTATTGCGCATGCCGAGCCAGCCACCACCTACCTCGACGTGCCATGCTGGGGTAAGTTGGAATTGGTTGGAAGAGGGTTCAGAATGGCAGACCAAGATTTGACACCAATGGATGAAGTCTCTTACTGTTGGTGTGAGGCATGTGGAGAGATGTAGATTGCTTAGTTGGTGTTACCGAGAAGAAAGGAATGAGTGGTTGAGGACTTTTGGTGACATGGCTGAAAATCTGTCAGAATGGCGCAGATGTTTTCACTCTGTGATTGACGTCTTCTAAAGCTTAAATATTCGCACTGTCCCTAGCTCTCAGATTATTTATTCTCTCACACAAGTGTGTTAGGTTGTACGTTGATTTTGTCAGTCACTATGATGTAAGATTGATTCATTCCCAATAGTTTTGAAGTAAGCAAAGCACAGAATGCAGAATAGCAGGCATGATGAACATTAATTTCGGTAATTTGTATGTCGGTGGCAGGAAAACAAGACATTTTGAGAATATTAAAAAAATTACTCAACAAACTGTATTATCTACAATCTCTTGGTCATTATCTGTGGATTTAATCGGAGCACTCGGCAACAGATCTTTGTGATTCAATGACACCAAGTAGTATATAAAACCATGAACTCAGTTAAACAAACAACTTTAGTGAGGCAAGATTTGAACTTTTATACCGGCTCATAGTATAAAAAAATAAGTAGAAAATATTAAAAGACAGTTTTCAAGTTTCTTTTTGAAAATGCAACATGCATGACACTAACCTGAATGTTTGATGGACATGAAGGAGGAGGGGAGCAGCGACGCGATGGTAAAGTTTTCGACACAGATTTCGCCATTACGGATGGTACAGCAAAGTTTCCGTTGCGCTTTGTCTCTCGGTTATTCTCTGTGAACGGAAGTAATAACTGAATATGATACACAGAAATGCCTAGCTAAAACTTATTTATTTTGCTATTTTCTCCAAGTGACAAGCAGACGAAATCAAACAAGAACCTGGGACAAAAGAAGTTGCTACACTTTATCGCAGCATGTAAACAAGAAGTGGATAGAAAAAGGAAGTCGAATCGGAATGTACCCAAAAACGTTGTGCAGCAGGAAATGAATCATATATATTGTGAGGGCTAAAAATACTACCTGGCTGCTTAAACCTCGGTAGGTGGGGCGGGGTTCAAACTAGTGACCCATAGGTTGTAAACCATCTCCCTACACCTATGAACCACAGCTCTGGCAGAAAAAGGACGGTGTGAGAGACGGGACAAGAGTAGGCTAGTGAAAATCTCAGAAATTCCAAAGATGATATTGAGTGCACATATTTTCATAATTGTAACCAATTTTTAACCATCCTACCAAGAATTCCCAAAAATTGATTGCCATAATCTCAGACGCTAGCAAGACGACCTAAATCTCCTTGAAAGGCACGGAACACCATTCAAAAACCTAATTAGTTGATGCCACTTTTTAATTAGGATACCTCTTGCCATCCTCCGATATAACCCTACTTCAGTTAACATTGCAGGTCGCGGTAGGTGGTGGCTCAGCATGCGCAACACACACAAACCATCTCACACTGTCGTTCCAACTCTTTTGTAGACCCAAATAAGAAGACTATCACCTCCCTAAACTGCATATCAGCTATATCATTGAACGGCATGGAGAGGAATACTTAAATTCAAATTGATAGACGATCATTAACTGTTCACTTAGGAGAACTACTTGATATAAAAATAAAAGGGGAAGTGGATGCGATTTCCAGCAAATTCATTAGTCCAAAAAGCAACACTAAACTAGCCAATAATTATCATACTGTTGCTGAGAGACACCCGACCGACAGCCACTACCTTGATGTGGTGACCAGGCATGCATATCACAAAGACCCAACCAGCTATGCTTGTGAAACGCTTGTTCCTTCCAGGTCCTACCATACTAGACAGGTCTGTTGGATAGTGGTAAGACGAAAAGCAGTTACCGTTGTAGTGTGAATTACTACACTGTGATAGGGTTCTGAGGGCGAAGTTGTACTGCTGCTAGCTGGATTGGGTGTGACGGTAGTAAGGTGTTTCCCTTGGATGATCAGCAGTGCCGTGATGATGCTAGCTTCTCAGTGGGAAGGGCGGGGGTAGAAAAGGTCGGCCCCAAAAATAACACTCCATCATACCCCACGGTCTGCCGGGCCGGCAGTGTTGGTTCATTTGTTGTTTCTTTTCGACCATCCGGCATCAAAACAACCATACACAAAAGACTATGTGTGACAGCCCTTAAGCAGATATTCGACGAGCTTTGCGACCACACAAATTTCTTTCAGGTATCTTAAGAAGAAATAGTCTTCCACGGTGTGGGCAGCCGGCAAGTGTCAACCACCCTCACAACTCTATCAGCACTCAAGTTTCCTCAGACTGGTATCCACCTCCTCCATCATTACCTTCTTCTCTACCTTCACGTCTCCCAATTAACGATACTACATCATCTTCAATTTCTCCCAGCTCTGCAGTCTTCGACAACGATGAGTTCACAAAACAGCATCCTTGGTCTCCTTAAACTATGCTTCAAATTACAAATCGGGGCCTTCAATGTCCGCACCCTCCATCAAATTGGTCAACAGGCTTCATTGGCAAAGACTCTAGCAACTCGGGCCATGGATGTGTGCTGTGTTTGTGAGACACACATACAAGACGCAAGTGCGGTTATTCATCTGACCTCTCCCAGCCAATCTAGTGAGTCCGCAGAATTCACCCTTCGAGTTTCCGGAGATTCGATAGCTAGCAGTGGATAGTTTTTCTAGACTTATTATAGAAACTGGGGGGTAAGGGTCAACAACGGTTAGTGAGACCGTAGCGGAAAAGGACGGATCTGCGATTCACTCGCAGGGGAGACGACTGGAATGATGGGTAGAACACTTCGAGGATCAGTTTGACTGACCTCCAGCCACCATTGCGTTGCCCGCTATTCAATCTGATACTGAATGGAATATTGAGATAGGCCTCCCAACACTTGCAGAAGTCGAGAAAGCTGTAGGTAACCTGAAACGAGGAAGGGTAGTAGGACCAGACGGACTAACTCCTGAGGTATACAAGGATGGTGGTAAGGTGTTCTTAATCAGATTAATGGAAGTGTTAACCAGTATATGGGAATCAAATATGATCCCTTCTGACTGGTCTAAATCACTGATAACTCCAGGCTTCAAGAAAGGCGAGAAGTCCTCTTGTGATAACCACAGAGGAATCGGCCTGACGAACATAGAGTCCAAGACCTTAAGTTCTATAATTCTTCGATGCCCGAGTGGAGCTCGGGAACAGAAAGTCCGAAAAAACCTGGCAGGCAAGCATTAGACCCGGCCGCAGGTGTATCGACCAAATATTCACACTGTGTCAGGCTCTGGAACATACGCTTACCGATGCCCGATACTAGCTGTATTTCTCGACCTGAAGGCAGCATTTGACTCTGTTGACCGAGAAGTCTTATGGCAATATCTCTCACTGAAAGGAGTACCGAGTAAGTAGATCACCTTATTGAAGGCTCTCTACTCGAACACGTGGGCGCGTTAGAGCCTATGGTGAGATATCCAAGGAGCTTTACTCGTCGAGTGTTGTCCGTCGAAGCTACCCACTGTCTCCATCCTTATTCAATTTTATCATAGATAATCTTATCGATGTCTCCCTCTCGTCACCTGATTACACAGACGTTGACCTAATCGCAGGGGAATTTTCGTTACACCTAAAATATGCAGATGACATAGTCATGTTAGGTGAAGATGCAGTCATCTGAACACTGAGTGACAATTTGAGAATGTTTGGGATGCGTTTTTCATCATCCCAAATGCAAACTGTTGTTCTAGGACTGCTCTTCAACGGGGCTTCGGCTAACAATAGAGAGTGTAGTGATTGAGTGTGTCGACCACTTCACTTACCTGGGAAGTAGGGTTAGCCCTGGTGGCTCCGTGGCTGATAAGATCTCTGCACAAATATAAAAGGCTCGACTGGCTTTCGCCAACTTGCGTCACCTGTGGCGCCGTGATATCCGATTGTCTATTAAGGGTCGCATGTACTGCACACCAGTCCGTTCTGTTCTACTGTATGGGTGTAAAACATGGCCATTGAAGGTGGAAGACATGAGAAGGCTTCGAAGGTTTGACCACCGTCGCCTTTGTAGTATAGGCCGTATTCCGTGGTGTCACCACCCGAGTAAAGCAAAAGTCAGGTGTAGAGTTTTAGGGAGAAGAGGTAAGTCAGTTGACACGGTTGTGAACCTTCATCGATTGAGATGGTCGGGACACGTGTTACGTATCCCTAGTCGCCGATTGCCTCGTCACACAATGTTGCCCGAAGTGGGTTCAGGTTGGATAAAGGCTAGAGGCTGTCAGACTAGAACATGCCATCAATGTATGAAGTCATTGACAGCTGGTGTGAGCCATGAGAGGCGATGCCGTCTAGCCGTTTGGGGTTTGCAAGACAGGAGAATCCAGTGGTGGGAGACTCTAGGTGACATGGCTCACAACCGACGCTATCCCGAATCTTACAATTTTCTCAGTCTTCCCTTTTCTCTATGTGTAATTCATAATTCTTCGAACTGAGTATTCTTGTTTTCACCTTCCATTTCACCATCTGTTTACCTGAAGTCATCCGAACTACAGTCGGTGAGTGGGTAGACGCAGATTACGAATAGGCATCCGTTGGTCACACGATCCTCCTCGTCCTCGAAGACACACGAAGTCGAAAAAGACATAGATGGCCGCGCAACAGCACAACAGTGTGAACACACCAGCGAGTACACCAAACGCGAGCAGTCTTACCAAGACATCTGTGATCAAAACCCTTAAACCGCTTCATGTCTTCCTCTTTTGACGCCGTATAACAGGGTAGGAGAGAGTGCAGTGCTGTACACTCGTCATTTGATAGATATTCGGATATCGCGCCAGTCCGTGATAGACATAACACAAGTTGGCAAATGCTGAACCAACCTTCTGAATCAGAGCTGAAATCCCGTCAGCAACCAAGTGGTCGACACATTCCACCACTTTACTTTCCCTCCTTGAACTAGGAGTAGTTACACAGCAGTCGCCTTGCAGCATCATCTCACATTTGACAGGTGCGAAACGCATGTCAAGCATACTCAGATTTCTGAACGCGTTCAGAAAACCCTGCATTGGACCAGTGTCTCCACCAAGAAGGACAATACCGTTAGCATGCTATAAGTCAACCAGATTGTATCTAGGGTGTAGATCAGTCCCTGTGAAGTCAGATGTCCATAAGGTTATGCCCATTAGTGCATCTATAAGGGTGTTGTATAAGAACAGTGAGAGTAGACATCCCTGTTGTCAATTCACACGGCTACTCTCCATAAGCGCTTATATGTCTGCTTGAGTTCGAGTAGAGGGCTTTGATTAGCGTTATATACTTGCTTGATAATCCCTGGACAGTCAGACAATGGTACAACACCTCACGGTTGACAGAGTTGAATGCCGCCCTCAGATCAAAAGAGTATGGTAAATGTTGGATGTCAAGAAGTATGCCTGTGTATCAGGACTTGTGTGAAGGGTTAAGATCCAAGCGGCACACTCTCATCCAGGTTTGAAACCTGCCTGGTTCTCTCGAATTCGCTGTTCTCCAGCTCCAGTTAGGCATCAGATATCTGTGGATTCTAGGATCTTGAACATAATGTTAGCCAAACTAATTCTCCTATGGTTGACAAAGAAAGACTTCTCCTTCTTACAGACTGGGATAATCAGTGAAGTATACCAATTTGACGGAACTGCCTCTCATTCACACACACCAACCTAGTACATCCATTATCTTAACCAGCAATTCACCACCTCCATTCATGAAAACTTCTCGTCCTGCCGGTTCCCATCGTTTCACGTTCATCAATACAGCTTTCTCAACCTCATAATAAGTAGGAAGATCGACACCTACGTCCCATTTAGGTTCAAGCTGCATGTGAAGCAACTGTAGCGTTGCTGTGTGCCAGTTGATCTGCGGTTCCAAACGTTCTGTCCAATGTCCCACCCCCCTGTCCTGGGAGCTGATCAGCGTCCCATCCTTTTCGGTGATGATTTCACTAGTCATCATCTTGTCGGTATCCCTAATAAGCCTAAATAATTGATAAGTGGTACCCAACGCTAATGCCTTCTCGATCTGTCACTCTCGCAACTCACCACTCCTCGCAATCGACACGAAGACTCTTGGTCAATTGCGCTTATTTCGCTTTCGTTTTTCATCGTGGTCAGAGCCAGTCAGCTGGAGTCAGCCCTCTCACACCAATCAGTTTCGATGACGTTGTAGAAATCCAATGACGTTTGTTAACCTTCAGGTGTAGGTTACTTGCCAACTGTCATTGCCATCATTTCTACAGCAGATCTAATATCACGTCAGGTTTTATCTCGATGAGCATTGCTGTCATTTCCAGATAAATGCGTACCTATCTATTCTCTAAATACATACTTGACGTTCTCATCTTCCAACTGAACACAAACAGGCTTCATTGCCATCTGTCTTCTATGACCACTAAGGCGTAGACATACACGAGTCCGTACTGGTGCATGATCTGAATTCAAACTGGTACTCCAGAAACAAAGCCAATCCTCCACCGATCCTCTCCATTAGTGGTTTGTAGTGATTCCATCCATCTGCATCTCTCATAAGTTTGATGTCGGTGGATGCCATATGTGACATTCTCGCTCTCTATCTCCTGATGTTTACAGTTTCTGCTAACCAGAAACAAGTGATTGTCGGACAAAATTGAAACACACGATCACCGTTGTTAGTTCGTTGGCATCGGCTCCTGTAAATATCTACTACATTGCCTTTCTGATTGGCTAACCTGTCATTATGACCACTTCTGAATGTTTTGCTTTCTGTAGCGAAATTGACAGTTTCACATAGAATTCATCCTTTGCGTCATCCGACTACAGTCGGTGAGTGGGTAGACGGAGATCACGAATAGGCATCCGTTGGTCTCACGATCCTCTCTAGTCCTTACAGATCCATTCGGTCAAACAGCACATAGACGGCTGTTGACTGGTATCCAGTCGCGTAGTGCACTTTCTGCCCAACAGCTCAACGCTATGACTACACCAGGGAGTCCATAAGAGCTAGTCATCGGGTCTCTGAATACTCCTAATGTGAATTTTGAAGATTCACCACTATGGTCACGTGAGGTCAATTTAATAGTCAGACTCGGGTCCTGTATACGCGTCTCATAGACCCAACATACATCCATGGATAGAGTTCGGGAAAGCGATGCTTGCTGGCACAGAGTACGGGCGTTGAAACCTCCTACATGAAATCGATGGCGAGGTCTTAGGAGACCAGAAGTGAGGTTTTGTTCGCTTTGATCGTTGACAAAGGTTGCAGAATGGGGTTGGGTAAGGCGTAATAGGCTTAATATCAGTGTCAGGAGGTAAGGCAAGGGAGGAGACAGTTGGAGAGGTCAGGTTATATTTGATTGGGTTTTGTGTACTACTGGAAGTTTGCAGGCGGTTGACAATTCCAGGCTGCCTACACCGTGGAAACCTACTTCTTTTTGAGGTACCTGAAAAAGAAAAGGATTTGTGTGACCTCAGGGTCCATGGAACACCTGTCACACACAACCTTTTGTGGGATGTTGTTTTGAGGTTTAGTTGTTCTAACACCGGATAGACAGAACCCATACCGCTGGCACTGGAAGACCATGAGGCAGGGAGGAGTGCGCTATTTTTGAAACTGACCTTTTCTAATCCCCATTCCATTGAGAAGCCAGCATCATCATGGCACTGCTGATCATCCAAGGGAAACACCTTACTACCGTCACACCCAATCCAGCTAGCAGCAGTACAACTTCGCCCTCAGAACCCTATCACAGTGTAGTAATTCACACTACAACGGTAACTGCTTTTCGTCTTACCACTATCCAACAGACCTGTCTAGTATGGTAGGACCTGGAAGGAACAAGCGTTTCACAAGCATAGCTCGTTGGATCATTATGATACGCAGGTCTGACCACCACATCAAGGTAGCAGGTATCGGCTGAACCTCAACGGAAAGAAGCCTCTCAGCAATTTTACAGCGGGTCTCTTGAAGACATTGGTATTAAAATGAAGAAATAATAGGGCATCACTTAACATGACGTTAAATGTTACTTATGTGGCGGAATGTGTGATCATTGCTTTAATCACGTTTGATCATTGTGGAGCCAAATATAACCCTTTTCGTTAGAAGGATGTGTGCACGCTAACTAGGAACTGAAGTGCAAATCTTGTTCCCATCATGTGGTACAGTAATATGACTTCTTTTCTAGCATATTTTTTGATGTTATATATTTTAGGTAGCTTTATTGAAACCTTTTATAACCTCAATAATGAAAAAATCCGTTTTTATTGATAAAGGATAGTATAATTAGGTTTCGCTCATAGTCCAAAATAAACCCAAAAATATCCAAACAGGAAACTGAAACACAGGATCGTCTTCCATTACTCAGGTGTTTAAAATGTCAAGTTAGACGAAGCAAAATGTTGCAGAAGAAAAATGACCAAAAAAACAAATACACTTACGTGATATTTTCTTTGAATTCAGAGTGCAATCAGATGAATGTGGTTTTGTTTGTCTTTCTGGGTGTTTCTGGAAGAAGCTAGCCGCTCGAATACTGAGGCACTCGTTTGTCTGGAATTCCCCTCAGCAGAACTGGAACGCGCTGATACAGCAGAATGCGAAGACGACGGCGCTGCATTCTTCACTTTAGCTAGAACAAGTGAGATGAAGGATTGTAGTCACAGATGGTTCCTGATTGAGAATATAGTGCAGATTGTAAAACCATAGGCAATTATCTTAATCATGCACAAATCATTGAAGAATAGTGTGAAGTAACTTGTTACCCTAACCCTTGAACTTTTTAATCAAGACAACAATAGTGGAAGGTAATTAGAAATTACACTGGGAGAGGGTTTCCTTACTTTTTACTAGAGGTTGTCTGATCAAATGATAAACTAGTCAATGACTGGAGCCTGTATGTACGTGGATCTACTGAATATTTGATTAAAAATCGATTTATAAAGTAATATAAAGACTTTGGTATTACTGTTGGTGCTAACAGCTCACATTCGGTATTCAGAAAAACTTAAGGCGTTAGTAAGATGGGTTTTACTGCTTTTAATTATAAAAAAAAATACACAGTTACATGGTGGAAAATATTTACATCAGACGGGTTTTTAGCTAACTACCACTAAGGAAATATAAAAGAGAAAATATACAATTAGCACACACTAGTATGTGAGCTACTACTAACTAAACAGATAGATGTAGTATAAGACAACACTTGAATCAGGTTACTGTTTATTGTTTAGCAAACAGATGGTGATTCGAACAGATAAACCTTTTTCAAGAAAAATTGGATTGGTTGCAGAAGACTGCATTGTTGAGAATTCGAGACTTATATACTTCATGAAACTATTAATCGCCACCACTGCTTGGACGTAATGCAACAATGCTATGGCTATAACCAGTGCTAATTCAGATGGTTGATTGCAGGCTAATTACCTACACTTCAGAATTGAATGAAAAAAAAATTAAAATTCATTTAGTGCTGTGAGTAGATCGATTTCCCTCACACTAAGTAGCGCGCTGAAATCAACGATGATATTTAACTTTTACTGGAAGATACGTGTACAAAAGGAAGGAATTCAACCACTTGTATTTGACGAGTTTTAAGCAAGAAAAGGTGCATATCCGACATTCTACTGGCAAATGCATAAACGAACAGACTCATCGAAGAAAATTCTGTTCTATGAGAAATCTCACACAAAGGAATGCAAAGCAAAGATCATGCATTAAAAAAAAAACACAAAACGACACAGCGAGAATTAAAACTTGCAATTGACTAACGAATCAAAGTCAAACATTGAGTATGAAGTTGTAAACAATGGTGACTGCTACATTCTCAGCTGGCAACGTATACGTATACGTATAGCACACAGTGAAAAAAAAAATCCTATGTATGAACAATTAATAGATATAGGGGCAATTGAATACGAAGTTAAAAACAGTTTGCATGAATAGGGTGACCAAAGACGAATGTCAATAACTACGCAAACAACTGTCACACAATACAATGAAAGAGATAATATCTTAGCAAGCAAACACTACGGTGCCATCCTACCTTTATTTTCCCTATTCTTCGCATCAGTGACACGCTCAGTGCCATCTATGGTTGTGAATTTTCGGCGTTGGTTAGGTCGCCCCACCCTGTCACACTCACTAGATGAGTTCGAACGATTTGAAATCACTGGGAAAAAAAAGTAAAATACTAATTATTTCAGGTTTCATACGAATAGAAACAGAATGATGTAACATGCAATCAAAGGACTACAATGATCTAACTGAATATGCATCTCTCCGATTGTTGGTTGCATGAAAGGGATGGATAATAATGAGCAAAAATTTAAAAAGGCGAGAATGAGTTGAGAAAATACATATGAATGGACATTAAGCAAAACTGAATCAACTTTAAAACAGCTATGTTTGGAGAAAACACAATCCGTCATAACCAATAGGCAAAAATTAGGCAGGCAATGTAAAATACAAACAAATGCACCAACCAACGAGCAATTACAAGTTGATATATAGACACCAAAGAAAACAAAAAAAGATTACACAAATCTGTTAGAATTAAAATAGTGGATTAGTTCTGGATGAATTTAATACCAGCCGTGCATAACAAAGAATATCAACCTTCAAAGAAATCTAGGCGTAAAACAGTTGCATGCTTATCGTAAGGTGATTGGAGCATTAACACCAACGAAACAGAACAAGGGGGGTCATGTAATTGGTTTAACTTTCTCCCGTGATTTGAGCATACATATATTTCTGGATGCAACAAAGCACTTTCTGCTAGCAACGCCAAAAAGTACCATAACTCAAACCACGTACAGATGTTTACGCTAGGTACTGACTTACATATGTTGTGTAAAGGCTTATGTTATCTATTGTCTGGCTGGCCAACTCAAACCACGATAGATGAAGGGCTTTTTGAAACTATAACCCACTGGTTGGGAGTCAGTCGACTGTTTAGACAAACGATTAATACCTCCAAGAGATTAGAGTCATTCCTCATCAGTCGATGCATCACTTTTGACTTGACTACTGCCAACTAGTTCAGCTGTAAAAGTTGCTCAATCACGGAAGAAAATTTGATCACTGCGAAGAAGCATATCAGTTTGTTAGTAAAAAAACAAAAAGTTGCACTGCAGTAGCCGTTTTTTTCTTCCAAACAGTAACCAGTATAGGATTTCAAGGTGATTTATGTAGATCGATTCAAGGAATTAGAATTGCTCAGTCGATTTTCACAAGTTGAACAGAAAACCACGTCATTAGGTAGCACTGAATTCAATAAAACACAGAACAGGGAAACTGTGAACACGCTATTCTTGCATACAGTCAGTTTACTTAGATCCCGTGGTCATACGCACATGTACAATGAGAAGAAAGATAGGAAGTTAGCTAGTGAATTAGGATGCTTCGCCACTACATCAAACTGACGGCAGATGAAATTAATCTCCATAACACACAAAATACTTAGTGTTCAGATTACAAAGTTTTCCCCCTGCAACCGTAATAATTAAATCAGTCCTATCACATCGAAAAAAGGAACATGCATATGTATGTACATTAGTTTGAGAAAAGCGGCAGGGAATTATGACAGCAGCTTCACACCATAGTATTGGATGCTAGATATACATAAGCATATGTAAGAGATATAAGAGGCGGCATGCATTAAAAATGATAGTCCGTTTCAGGGAAAACATTTTTTCGTGTGGGAAAGTAGCAGATACGATAAGGGGGATGCAGACAAACCTTCACTGGTGTGGATACCTTCGAGATTGTGCTCATCGGGAACTGTGTTAGTGTTGAGGGATTTCGAGTCTTTAGTGCTGACAGATTGATCGGATTCGGAAACAGTACTTCTGTTAGTAAAAACATTTTGTGGACGTCGAGCATGAGTAACCCGAGTGTATGATGACTTAGTATGGTGCAAAACAGAAGCATGAGCTGAAGAAGCTCGCCTAGTCTGCGCTACACCCCGATTACTGGGCCTCGATTTATATACAGAGGTTGGGGGTCGAGGTACATGTGATGGATCTATAAAGCACGAGTAATAGGGTGTTGCAGCAGCCGTAAAAAAGCACCCACTATGTCGACCAGTAAGGTAGCTAGCTAATCGTGCTTCAAAAGCTTGTTTCAAACGTAAAGCTGCTGCACTTGTTTGCGTACATATAGAGCGTGGGGCGCTACTTCCAAAAGCGACCACGCATGAAGTTGTCATCAGACAACCTGGGTTCCTTGCGCTTCCAAGAGGAGAATTGCTCGTTGTACGACTTGGATAATCCTGAGCAGTATTTTGACGTGGCAGCAAGTTGGTTCCTGACCGATTAACTGAACGCTGACGAATTCTCTCTAACCTTGCCTGTGTAGAGGAAATGGTGGGAGAAATAACAAAAATGTAACTAAATTGCAAATTTAAACAAATAAAAGACAGCGTTTCTACACAGACTATATATAGACTAACTTCTAAATTCATGCAGTCTTGAACTAATTTAAACAGAGATATAAATGAGTTGTTAAAAACCATAAACTACATTGCAAAATTAATGTTCCGGCCTCTATGAGTGACAATGGCATATAGGTAGCTAAATTTTTTCGATCACTGATCGTGATGATAAAAAGTGGAAAGCGACAGCACTATTAATGAAACTAAACAATAGCATATAAAACATGAGTCACTTAGCAATTATTTCTATGTTTATACAATGTGTCGTATGAACATAACTTCATATGTATTAATTGAGGGGATAAAGTTGGCGACCTTAGAATACATGAGCGTGTGTAGTATACACACGCTTAGGCCATCAAAGTTGTGTGATAACTCACTGTGAAGTTAATTCACTAAGAAAATCACAGAAAACGTCTAACTGCGAAACAGAAACAATATGTCAGGATTCTGGCACTTCGTTAGCTTGACTTCATTAGATACATTAGGTTCCCCTTTAACAATAGATAAGATGAGCGGTTAGAAAACATGCAACTTTGATTCATCATGAGATGCGACTCACGCACTTAAACTAAGTTGAAAAGAATTAACTCCACATTTACCGATGCTTTCGGTTTCTCGTTAATCATTATTATACTGGATAGAATCGACAGGTCATTCTTGACATATAGGCACCTTGAACGGATGCCACAATATTGCCCCAAGTTTAATTGTGATGTCACTTACTTCACAATGGTTAGCAGTGGAACCCAAAGCGCACATTTCTTCTTGTCTGCCACTCGTCATTTGGATGTACCTGCATCCTAGCACTTGAAGCGACAAGTGCTTGTTTGACCCTCGGTAGGAAATCCATCCATCGCCCACTGATGCACGTACATCCAGCTGACGAATTGCAAACTGGACGAAACGCATGTCCTGGAGTCCAGTGCTAGAACTACATTTACGTATATACTAACTCGGACAGCATTCCTTTGTTATGAATTGTAAGACTTTATCCAATTCTTGAAAAAAGATTCCTCTCAGAATTTGGGAGTGTATTTTAATGATGTTCAGAGTACTATGCTTATCATCAAGATACTTATTCCCATATTAAAATGGGAACTCACAAGCATCGGTAAATAAACTCATCTTAGGTGAAAGAAAACTCTCTTTTGATATAATCGTAAAACGGTTACATTAGGAACTCATGTAAATACATAAAACTTGAGCACATTGGCGGTAAAGTATACACCAAGTTAGTAGATAACCAACATCATACTGGTTTATCGGAAAGCTTCTTTACGGATACTATCTGCAGACAGCAGCAGATTAGTTCCGATGCGTCCATTATCTTTCATCTAATACCTTCAGAACGCATATCAAACATACTCAGATCTTTTGTATAGGCATTCGGTAATCGCTTCAAAGATATTGTCACAACAACTCACGGTCGATAGGGTTGAAATGCCACATTCAGGTCAACAAATATGATGTATCAGACACCAGTACGTATCCATGCGCTTCAAAACCTGAAGAATGAACGTCTGACCAATGCATTCTCGTACAGGTTTGAAACCTGAAAGATTAACGATCCTAGTCAAGATGATTCCTTTGTGTTATTTTTAAAGTTTTCTCAAGGAGGAACGGTCAATTATAAAGTGAAAGATTAAAAGGTACTTACTCGATTGGACATTTCCAATGCTGCACGTCGTTCGGAGGCATTAAGACGTCGAGTTTGTTCTTTGAGACGCATTTCTTCTATTTTGCGTCTTCTGTCCTCCTGGTGACGCAGGCGAGCCATTTCAGCCTGACGCTGAGTTTCAATATATGCACAGTATCTCTGTTGCTGCTTAAGCTTATCTGCCTCCCGAATTCGTTTCAGTCGTTCTTCGACAGAAAGTGAATTAGTTGAGCTTTGAATGGATGGAGTCTGACAAGGTTGTGAGCTACCGGCACTATTCGGTCGAGTGAGATCTATAAGTAAAAAGTGTAACAGGAAGCTGGAATATAATAAATGTTGGATAATAAACGACACGGAAAATACTCCAAAGTTCATTTCTTTCGTATTGTCTTTATAGTCATGTCAAGTTAGTATAATTATCAAGAGGAACTTTGGACCTGGTCTTAAAATGTATGCAATATTGCTAACTTATACAGTATTATTAGGCAAATGAATGAAAACGAAGGGCGTGAATAATCCCACACACTTTACCACTGCTAATCAACCGAAATTTATATCAGTGTGTGTCATGTATGCTGACCAACATCATCACGGCTAACGCACTGTGTTAGCTGAAATATAATTAGGTTGTGCGAAGGTTTAAGATGGCAAAAACAAGGCTTGGAGTGAACTCGTGGCGAATTCGACTGTTGATCTTAACTGTGTAAGGGAATGTAGGCTTCCCCGATCGGGTTGGCAAGACAACTGAAGTACGTACTTGGTGATGCTGAGACATTGAGAACAGTAACCTAAAAGGATCTAAATGTCACAAATGTTTATTCTACTTACCTCTCCTTTTTCGTTCACGATGTTTTTTAATGTTATCCCTTATACTGATCACTGGTTCGTATTTCTTTCTAATAATTTCTACTTTGATTTATTGCTGTGAACTACAGTAACTTGCACTGTTATACACCGATGCAGTGAACCAAGTTATGTGATGAGTAGGTTTACAGTGACTGCACATCAAACTGAAATGCTTAGATGCACACAAGTATTTGTACACCTATAATCAGTGAAGCTCTGTTCTACTGTATAGCTGTGAAACGTGGTCATTAAACGTGGAGACATGGGAGACTTCAGGTGTTTGATCACCGCTGCATTATTAGAATAGGCTGTTTCTTGGTGTCACCACGTGCGTGACGCAGAAGTCAGACGTAGTTTTAGGCAGGAGAGATAAGACAGTTGATGGGGTTTCGAACCTTCGTCGACTGAGATGGATGAGATATGTGTTACATATGCCTAACCACTGTTTGCCTGGTCGCACAATGTTGGCCGAAGAAGGTTCAGGTTGAACAAAAGCTCGGGGAGGCCAGACTAAGACATGGCATTAATTTATGAAGTTCTTGACCGTTCATTTGAACCATGTAGGACGATACAGACTAGCCAGTTGGGGTCCGCGGGACAAAAGAGTGCAGTGATTCGAGACTCTAGGTGAAATAGCTCAGAATTGACGTCAGTGGCGCAGACGCATACACAACAGTATTCTCATCCTAACCGCTATACTTAATCTCATCTTTTCACTACTACTTCCTCTCTTTTAGCTTTTTCTACTTCTACTTTCTCTGACCGATTTTTCTTTTCTTCTTCATCTTCCGTTTTATTGCCTTGTTACTTGTGTTGATATGAGGTGTGGCAACTTGGGCTGTTACGCAGTAATGCCTGGTCGCATTTTGATCTTGATGATGATGATGATGATGATGATGATAAGTGAAGCCCAGGAACAGGAAACTCAAAAAAGAAAATCAGGCAGGTTTCAGACATAGTCAAAGATGTATAGACCAGATCCTAACGCTTCAATATTTAGTTGCATCAATTGAAAGGTCCTACAGTGGGACCTCTCACTGAGAGGCGTGCTGGATGCTTTTTGTCATCATTTACTACACAAAGTTGATACATGTGCACCCAAAGATGTGTCATATAAGATAATGAAGCAATAATATGAAGACACAAAAGAAGACTTAGTCTCAAGAATACATCTAGAGGCATTCATTCACTAGGTTCCTTTTACTCTTCTGTGATGGAAAAAATAAGAAAACTTCAGGTCATTCTAAGCCATGCCTTCTATCGTTTCAAGTTACTGAGTTGCACAGTCTTTTGGAACTAGTCCATGGTGCCATGAAACCTTGACAGATACTAAGCTAACACAACCATGCTTCAACCGACAGTGTCACCTCATACACTGACTACCTATCTGCTTTTTCTAGACAATCCCACAGCAAACATAGTGTGAATGGTGTGAAAGCTGCTGGGACGCATACCTAGTACATGTCAGGGCCCCGGAACCCGGTGTTTCAACATCATCACAGCCAATAAACGATGATCTTCATCATGCCCAAACACCGCCAACATGGTGTTTTTACCGCCGTCGAGCCACTCCGCAGAGACTACGACAGAACACACAAAGTGGTTGGGCATCGTTGGTTTCATAGACTTAGAGCAGAACTGCTTGCACCAAAGTATTGTAAACTCGACCTTATGCAACAAGGTTGACGCCACGACGGAGTCAAAGATTGCAAAGATTAGCGCATATCACTCCGATTTTCTATATATGATTGAAAATCTCATGAGTCACACCACCAGCATTCACACAAATACTCAGGGGCAAGAACTTATCGGCAACTTCCAGCGATTCGCCACCAAGAATTAGTGTAGATACAGGCTCCAGTCATCTTTTAAAAACATTTTGCACTTCGATGATGCAAAGCAAATTTCATGCTTATGGATACGCCTAAATCTTATTGTGAGGTATCAGGCGAGCTTTCTACGTCGAAGGTGGAGAGTCTCTCCATTCTTATTTAATCTTTATTTAACTTCACAGACACTAACCACGTCATTATAGGCTACATAGTGGATTAGAGTACTCATATGACGCAGGCCAGTTAACTGAACATATTGTCAAGATGCAGTCATTTCGAAAATTTGAGTGGTAATTTAGGAGTTCTTGAGATGCTTTTCTCGCCACCTAAAGGCAAACTGTTGTCCAAGGGCAGGTTTCGATTGACACATGCTACCTTGATGCAGTGATCAGACCAGTAAATCAGAACCACCTAACGACCTGAAGTATGTGGAATGCTTCCTCTGTAAAGGTCTTGTCATGTCAGAAGGGTCTGTTGCATAGCGACAAGATGAAAACCAGTAACTGTAATTGCGTAAACTGCTACACTGAAGTGGGTAGTGAGGCTGACGTCGTACTTTTAAAGCGTCGGCTGACACCAATAAGGTGTTCCTCACTCATGACTACCAGTACAACGCTGACGCGACACTCGCGACGGAAGGAGTGTTTGAAAAAGTAGACAAAATGAAACTACCGTCTGTCCTCATACTTCTGGTCACACAATCACAGTAAATCTTCGAAATCCACCTTGAGAGTATTCAGAGACCCGATGACTAGCTCTTGTGGACTCCCTGGTGTAGTCATAGCGTTGAGCTGTTGGGCAGAAAGTGCACTACGCGACTGGATACCAGTCAACAGCCGTCTATGTGCTGTTTGACCGAATGGATCTGTAAGGACTAGAGAGGATCGTGAGACCAACGGATGCCTATTCGTGATCTCCGTCTACCCACTCACCGACTGTAGTCGGATGACGCAAAGGATGAATTCTATGTGAAACTGTCAATTTCGCTACAGAAAGCAAAACATTCAGAAGTGGTCATAATGACAGGTTAGCCAATCAGAAAGGCAATGTAGTAGATATTTACAGGAGCAGATGCCAACGAACTAACAACGGTGATCGTGTGTTTCAATTTTGTCCGACAATCACTTGTTTCTGGTTAGCAGAAACTGTAAACATCAGGAGATAGAGAGCGAGAATGTCACATATGGCATCCACCGACATCAAACTTATGAGAGATGCAGATGGATGGAATCACTACAAACCACTAATGGAGAGGATCGGTGGAGGATTGGCTTTGTTTCTGGAGTACCAGTTTGAATTCAGATCATGCACCAGTACGGACTCGTGTATGTCTACGCCTTAGTGGTCATAGAAGACAGATGGCAATGAAGCCTGTTTGTGTTCAGTTGGAAGATGAGAACGTCAAGTATGTATTTAGAGAATAGATAGGTACGCATTTATCTGGAAATGACAGCAATGCTCATCGAGATAAAACCTGACGTGATATTAGATCTGCTGTAGAAATGATGGCAATGACAGTTGGCAAGTAACCTACACCTGAAGGTTAACAAACGTCATTGGATTTCTACAACGTCATCGAAACTGATTGGTGTGAGAGGGCTGACTCCAGCTGACTGGCTCTGACCACGATGAAAAACGAAAGCGAAATAAGCGCAATTGACCAAGAGTCTTCGTGTCGATTGCGAGGAGTGGTGAGTTGCGAGAGTGACAGATCGAGAAGGCATTAGCGTTGGGTACCACTTATCAATTATTTAGGCTTATTAGGGATACCGACAAGATGATGACTAGTGAAATCATCACCGAAAAGGATGGGACGCTGATCAGCTCCCAGGACAGGGGGGTGGGACATTGGACAGAACGTTTGGAACCGCAGATCAACTGGCACACAGCAACGCTACAGTTGCTTCACATGCAGCTTGAACCTAAATGGGACGTAGGTGTCGATCTTCCTACTTATTATGAGGTTGAGAAAGCTGTATTGATGAACGTGAAACGATGGGAACCGGCAGGACGAGAAGTTTTCATGAATGGAGGTGGTGAATTGCTGGTTAAGATAATGGATGTACTAGGTTGGTGTGTGTGAATGAGAGGCAGTTCCGTCAAATTGGTATACTTCACTGATTATCCCAGTCTGTAAGAAGGAGAAGTCTTTCTTTGTCAACCATAGGAGAATTAGTTTGGCTAACATTATGTTCAAGATCCTAGAATCCACAGATATCTGATGCCTAACTGGAGCTGGAGAACAGCGAATTCGAGAGAACCAGGCAGGTTTCAAACCTGGATGAGAGTGTGCCGCTTGGATCTTAACCCTTCACACAAGTCCTGATACACAGGCATACTTCTTGACATCCAACATTTACCATACTCTTTTGATCTGAGGGCGGCATTCAACTCTGTCAACCGTGAGGTGTTGTACCATTGTCTGACTGTCCAGGGATTATCAAGCAAGTATATAACGCTAATCAAAGCCCTCTACTCGAACTCAAGCAGACATATAAGCGCTTATGGAGAGTAGCCGTGTGAATTGACAACAGGGATGTCTACTCTCACTGTTCTTATACAACACCCTTATAGATGCACTAATGGGCATAACCTTATGGACATCTGACTTCACAGGGACTGATCTACACCCTAGATACAATCTGGTTGACTTATAGCATGCTAACGGTATTGTCCTTCTTGGTGGAGACACTGGTCCAATGCAGGGTTTTCTGAACGCGTTCAGAAATCTGAGTATGCTTGACATGCGTTTCGCACCTGTCAAATGTGAGATGATGCTGCAAGGCGACTGCTGTGTAACTACTCCTAGTTCAAGGAGGGAAAGTAAAGTGGTGGAATGTGTCGACCACTTGGTTGCTGACGGAATTTCAGCTCTGATTCAGAAGGTTGGTTCAGCATTTGCCAACTTGTGTTATGTCTATCACGGACTGGCGCGATATCCGAATATCTATCAAATGACGAGTGTACAGCACTGCACTCTCTCCTACCCTGTTATACGGCGTCAAAAGAGGAAGACATGAAGCGGTTTCAGGGTTTTGATCACAGATGTCTTGGTAAGACTGCTCGCGTTTGGTGGGATCACCATGTGAACAATCTCGAAGTCAGGCGAAGAGTACCAAGCAAGACAGGCAAGTCGATTGATGAGGTTGTGAACCTCAGTCGACTGAAATGGTTAGGACATGTATTGCGCATGCCGAGCCAGCCACCACCTACCTCGACGTGCCATGCTGGGGTAAGTTGGAATTGGTTGGAAGAGGGTTCAGAATGGCAGACCAAGATTTGACACCAATGGATGAAGTCTCTTACTGTTGGTGTGAGGCATGTGGAGAGATGTAGATTGCTTAGTTGGTGTTACCGAGAAGAAAGGAATGAGTGGTTGAGGACTTTTGGTGACATGGCTGAAAAGCGGTCAGAATTGCGGAGGTGTATTCACTTCTTGATGTCTTCTACGGCTCACATGTTTGAACTGACCTTACATTTAAATTCTGCTTTTTTTATACACCCTTGTCTACTTTGATAGCAGTCTTTTCGATTCACTTGTTCCTTATATGGTACTATGAAGTGTGGCAAATTGAAGTGGTGGACTTTTGCGCGAGGTGAGGTTCTACGTTGGTGTTGTGTCTGTGCAGGACACGTCTGTGTAAGTGCTTCATATACTAGTGGGGGATGAAGCAGTTGTTTGTTCAACACTTCATTTATTTTGGAAGTCGAATTTCCTGACAGGGGTCTTCAGTGACTGATGAATTGTCGGTTTAAATTTTCAAAAATAGCCTCAGCTTGATTATTCAATGGCTAATCAAGGGTAAAACGCGACCACCAAATGTGGAGGACATCAGAAGGCTGTTTGTCCCAACTCAGGTCGTGAGTTATGGAATCGAGATGTCAGTAACGCAGTCGGATGCAGTCTTACTCGAGGTCATAAACCTTCACGGACTCAAATAGTTGGGACGTATTACGCATGTCTAGTCACTGTTAATCTCGTCACGCATGTTAGCTGAAGTAGTTTCAGCCTGAAGAAAGATTAGAGGTGGCTAGACCAAAGCATGGCATCATTACATGCAGTCTCTGTTAGTCGGAGTATTGACAAAAAATGTGAGCGTCCTGGTGTCCTGTGTGACAACCAGAAATGGCAGTCGGAGGCTAGGCGATATAGTCCAGAAACAATATCAGTGGAGCAGATGCCTCCATATCCTGTTCTTTAGTCTCTTCCTTCTTTTATGATTTTTAACCACTTTTTACTACTACCCGATTTCTCCATCTTTTGTCTTGGTGCGTCTTACCTTGATGTGCTGGTGTGAGGCGTAGCAGCTTAGACCGCGACGCAGTTGATTTTGAGGGATTGATAACAAGGCAAAAGAATAAAGGTGAATCTATTGACAGTAAATTGTTCCGTTCCAACGATAGTCAGTTAATTGATACTTATTGGTTGTGAATTTTTAAATCCAGTAATCGGTGAAGTACACAGTTCTGTAGATAATCATATCGAGGGAAATAACTTTAGAACAATGGCTTCATCATCAAACTGGCTAGTTTACACATTTGACTAAGATTTGATTGATAGTCTGTGTCTTGAGAAGCCCAAATGACGCAACATATAAAATCTGTTATTTCAAAAAATTATGAAGTTCACTAGGATATTCAGCAAAACAATTTTCACAGAATTTGAGCATAAATGGTTCATGGTTATAACACACTCATATTAGCAACCAGGTAACCGAGCAAGTTCTGTTAAATCAGCCATTTCTATGATGCTATATCTCACATATGAGACCTGGAATAATTCGACTTTTGCGGATTTTGATACATTGATAAGCGGATGGAAAAAAACTAGTTTAAAGAAACAATCAAAATGAAGTGTAATTAACTACCAGAAAGTATGTCACGGTCTTAAATGTTGCTGTCACAGCAGACTAGGTTTCTCCGAGATAAGTTATTTTATTCTGTACTAACAACTGTTTGGTTAGTTTCTTGCAGAAATTAGCTTTAATATTCTCGTCGTCAAGCAGTGCTCCTAACTGTCGCTGCCGTAACTCTCCACTATTTAAGCTTAAACCAATGCATAACCGTCGTCTAAACACGTGCTCCAGGAAAAGCAGAAATCTCCCACCGACCCTCTCCAGCAGTAACTGACAGCAATAAGGTCAGTGTCCACCACTGAGTTGAAGTGGGTAGACAGGCTCAGATAACCTCTTTCCACCAGCATAGCTCGCTGGGTTACTGTGATATGCAAGTCAACCTCCAGATCAGGATAACAGCTAACAATCGGGTACACATGAACGCGAACGCTGTACCCCAGATGCTTATGACGGAACCCGTAAAATCCTTTACTGAAACACGGTAGATGAGGATGTTAATTACCAAACCAGTCTGAAAACCACCGACCAAATATCTGCAACTAGTGGTCTAGAAATCTGACGATTAAGAGTACATACATCTGCGCAGCTGTGATCAATCTCTAACCATTTTACTAGATCTTAGACCGTTAGTCCTTATCATTCGGCTGAGCCTAATTACCTGGCACATTTTTCATACAGCCAAAATTATTATGGGGATTAGTGTCATATCTCCTTTTAATCATCCTTAGGTTCGTCGAAACCTAATTTACTTGTCAACATGGTAAGTCAGGGTTAGTGGTGATATGCATCACGTAAACGCCGACGCTAAAGGACACAAGTCTAATGATTTGCTAGTAGTCGTCTTTAAAATAGCTGGTTTGATGGTAACCATGTATTGTGTGTGGATTTCTGAAAGTTAGCAAGGAAAAACACTCGGTAACACTGCGATGATGAAACCCTAAGCCACCTTACTGCTAATAAGAAAATGTTCGAATTTCTACACATAAAAATGCAAAGTTGCTAATTATAAGTCAGACTAAAGTAGTGAAGTACATTCCTTCTGAGATTTTTACGATGCTATAATTCAATGTTTGGAAATTTTATTCAGTGATTTTAAGTCCAAAACAAAGGTGCTCTTCAAAGTCCTAACCTCCACTTATCTTTTATCTGATTCTTCCCTGTACACCTCGTTTTGATCTTGTAAATTTACACCTGAAAGATGTTAAGCCTACCAAGGCTTCTTTTTAGTCTTAACCGAAATATACGACATAAATTAAACTAATGCAACTAATGGAGAGTTATTCTCTCAGAAACTGGGAGAGAAGTTACTTTCAGCAACACAAATTAATGTTAACAAAGAAAAGTCATTCTGCCACCGGAAGGCACATAGCTTTATCAGAAGGTTCCTTCTAATAAAATATCTGCATGTGAGACGGTCCCATATCCTAACTACGGAACAACAGTCACACAAAATATTATACTCATTGCAATGAAAACTAGGTATTGACTAACCTGAATTCTGAACGCCACTACCAGATTCTGTGCTTACAGACTCACTGTGAATTGGTTCATCTCCTGATGTTTGACTTTGTATCCCGTTCGCTTTCATGTCTTCCTACAGTAAAAATACAAAAACCGGACGCATGCTTTTAGCTGTTCATACAAAGACAGTGAAATACTCTAGCCCAATGAGACGAAACTCACCAATGTCCAGCAGATCAGTGAGCGAACATATGACAATTAGTGCTCCCAATGACCGCTATAAGCTTTCAATATCCTATGTCTTTTTAAACAACTTGTTTAAATCAGACCAAGCCTTCGATATAGAGAACAGCAGATCATTCACCAATGCTAATCCTCACAATGATCACTTCTTCTTACAAGCAATTTTCTATGGAATGTGTTCACTCAAGAAGTTCCTGAAAAGGCGGAATTCCCTCCCTGGCGACGGATAAGAAGTCCGATAGTCTGGCGAGATCTAATTTGTCCAAAGCTGAATGTCTATCTGATTACTTTAGTCAAGTCTTCTCTGCAAATCATGACGATGAAGTGCTAAATAGTGGTGTCAGCACTGTTCCACTAATAGATAGTGTTCACAACAAAGGAAAGAGTTACAGTTGCTTATTAACCTCAAACCTGAAAAATCCCCAGGTCCCGATGATTTACATCCCAGACTTCGATCCTCGCTAGCAGACATCATTGCTGAGCCAGTCACGGATCTTTTCAACATGTCCCTAACTCAGACTCGCCGCCCTAGAGACTGGAAAGATGCCACAATCGGCCCAGTCTTTAAGACTGTAGTCGCCATTTGGTGTCTAACTATAGCCCTGTGAATCTAACCAGCATAGTTGTTAAGATTTTAGAAAAAAGTTCGTGACACGGTACTTAATTATGTGGAATCAAACAATCTTTTGGCACCACAGCAACATCGTTTTCGTACTGGGCACTCCTGTCAAACTTCCTTATCGCAAGAGAGGAATGGGTTGCAGCCAGTGATTGCAAGCTGCCAATAGATGCCGTGTTTATAGACTTCAGTAAAGCATTCGACAAAGTGTCGCATGTGAAATTAATAGGAAAGCTCTCCTCCTTCGGGTTTGGTACTTCATTGCAAGCTTGGATTAAGGACTTTTTATACGATAAAAGGCAAAGAGTGAGGGTAAGTGGGACACTATCCGGGTGGAAACCTGTAGTGAGTGGAGTTCCTCAAAGAACAATCCTAGGTCCACTACTTTTCTTGTTATGTATCAACGAATTGCTAAATATGCTCAGCTCTTCGGTACTGTTATTTGCTGATGACGTAAGGATTTGGAGAACCATATGCAGTGGTGCAGATAGGTATGCACTTCAGGCGGGTTTAGACGAAACGTTAGTGTTTGGAAGTCAATTCTAACAAAAGTGCAATAATGCTTATTGGTCATAGCAATTGTTTCCAGTATTCCGTTGATGATACACCACTCTTCCAGTCCTTTAAATAAAAGGCTTGGGTATCATCATTAGTCATGATTTGAAAACCTCCGCAAGCTGTAATGCAGCTGCAGCAAAGGGCTTCCATATATTACGGTCCCTCCGTGGAGCTTTCATTTTTTGATGAGGACATGCTTAGAATACTCTACTCTACCTACGTTAGACCTCACTTGGAATACTGCATTCGGGTGGCCAGCCCATGAGTAAAAAAGGATGCTGACGCACTTGAGCGTGTTCAAAGGGTAGGCACCAAGCCTGTGACAGGCCTTTCGAATCTGTCCTGCGAAGAACGACTAGATCAGCTAGATTTATTCCACTATCTTACAGTAGGAGATGGGGTGATTTCATACTGGCATTTCGTATTCTTAATAATGACTTCGATACTGATATGTCCTATCTTTTCTCCCTTGCCAGGACAGACTATCTCCGAGGGCATAACAAGAAAATTCTAAAACGTGATCGAATCAACTTGGCATGAATCTGCGCTTCTCCCATAGTGTTTTCAACGACTAGAACTCCTTACCTCAGCAAGTAGTATCAGAACCTTCTGTCAATGCGTTCAAGGAGAAACTAGATCTTTACAGAGATGTCCTCTGCAAGGATTAACACAGGCCAACTGGCCTACTATCCTTATAAGGAAACTAAAACTAGCTCAGCCGGGCTTTATTCATCAATAGGTCTATGAAAGAACTGGTGCTCAACTGACTGGGATCTTCCAAATGGTGCAAGTGGCTGGTGACGGAATAGATGAAGCTTTCGTTTGACTGGATTCCGCAACTAGAATCCATGAATCAATAATTCATGTGGTTGTTAACCTGTGTACGAGTAAACAGAGGGCGAAAGCGGCGGTTGGACTATGGAAATTCAGTTAGTTCTGAGCAGATCCCACTCACATCTCAAGTAAGTAGCAATCTGGAGTCTAAAGGGTTCAGACGTTTAACAACTCTTAGGGAATAGAAGTTGTGTCTGATATCTAATTTGTTATGTTCGAGGCGTAGCTTCTGTATTTGTCATGTAAGAGTGATGCTGCAACTAGGATTCAGTAAGTGATGAAGTGGGTGTCCAGGTGTGCTCAAGATGTTGTTAGCCATTATCAGGTCCCTACCTAGTATTATATGTTCCAGGGGATATAGACAAAGCGCAACCAGTCATTCTTCATATGTTTGGTCCCGAGATTTGAGAATGGAAAGCTAAAGCAATCTGTGTAAGTTGTTTCCCTTATGGCTAATAAGAGAGTTTGAATTCACAACTGTTGTAGATAGTCGAATCAACAATATTTCGGTTACGTGAAATCGTCTTCTAAATGAATGAGACATCATAGATGTGAGAGATCAGTTGTTAGGAGTGGATAATGTTGTGTGAAGATACGTATTCCCTGGCAATTTGGTTCGTTCTCCGAATATCTCACTCTCGTTTCAGATACTTACATTCAATGACAATGAGCAGCTGACGTATACCATGAGTGAATCCAATGAGAAAACTCGCCAAGATGGGAGGTTAAAGAGCCCACAGTGTACGGTGTAGCGCATTGAAGGGGTGTAGCTTGTCAATTTACCACATAACGACGACACGGTGAGAGGCTACATTAGTTCCCACCATTCAGAGCACAAGATAGCTGAAGTCATGTTTTGAAGGCAGCTATGAGGGGTGTTGAAGTGACATACTCCCACGTACAGTTTCGCCGGTTGACAATCTAGTGCTAGCAAGTGCATTTCATAGTGGGATGATTTCAACTCGATTTCCGACATGATGCCCTGTCAAGTGGTCGGTTGTGGAGGGTGAAAATTTGCTGTGACTTCTAGATATTTGTACTCAAGGATCTCCATTATTAATCATCAATACTAGTCTCGCCAGTTCACCAAATCAAACTTTAACTGCATTCTTCACTTCCGAGTATTTCTAAAATAATCTCCACCCTTTTATTTTCGTTTTCTTTATGCTTTATACGTTGATTTTCTGACTCTTCCCGGCATTTCTTGGCATTACTTTTCCTTTATTTTGTATATATATATATACTTCTTTGATTGTTCTCCAGTCATTTATGTTTGTTATATTTTATCCCTGGCTGGGAATTCTTCCGTGTTTCTTTTAGAAGCATCTCTAGTACTTACATGGTGTATTTTGCCTATTATTTTGTTCATTACTGCAACATTTTTAGCTGTCTATCATGGCATCACATTTCGGCTCTGTGTCGAAAATCTTGATTCTAAATTTGTACTCATCGATAGAGCTACTGTCGGAATCACTGTTGGTTTTTCTGTTGCCAGGAATATACCTTGGGTCGCTAATGTCTATCCTGTTTCTGCATGTCCTGTTAGCGAATTCCATAGTACCAGTAAGTTCTACTCTTCTCATAACAGTCAGTTCCGTATGCCACCTACAGGAAAATTACAACCAAGCCATTTCTTTATGCATTAGCATAACGCCGTCTCAAATTATGACCATTTTCATTTAATGTTAGCTCTATTCTTGCTGCCAAATAATCCTTTCCAACTTTGCCTCATCTTGATACACCACCGTATCGCACTACCTTTTTAAACTAAATGATACTCTAACAACTTACTAAAAATCCTTACGCCTACCCTCCTGTGCTAATTGCTCACAGATCTGGTACGTTCATACACTGAAATTTGAGAAATTGTTTTCTCAGCGCATCAGATGACCCTAAGGCTTCCGTTTTCCTTTTTTGCGACCCCAGAGGATCCTCTCAACTCAGGTGAGTGGACAAGGATTCATCCTGCAAAACCTTTATCCATCCTCCTTTTACTCATCGAAATGATAGAGGAATACTGGATACGGCACTGACTGTTATTTCCAACTGTAGTGGATTGGATAATCCTGACGTTTGTGGCCCATATTATCCATATTGTTTTTTTGCCTAACTCATTCCTTCAACAGCGCTTTTACTCCCACTGTTTATGCTTCTATTCCCTAAACATTGAGCCAAAACAAGTACTTGCACTTCAGTGCACCCCATGTTCCTCTACATTGCTTCCATTCTCATGAACATTTATTCCAGAAGTGGTTCGTTAAAATTGCTAGCGTTCCCTTTCTTTCTTCATTCACCCGCCTGTGACTACGGACAGTATGGACGGTACGGACTGCAGCACGGAACACCCATCCCGTGATAAATAGTGGGAAATCTGGCCAGTTGACGACACAAATGACGTGAGTTGGCAAGCTCCAAACGAGCTTTCTGTACCCGAGCTGAGATACCAGCAATCAGCTCAACCGGACCAATGCGACTTCCCTAGCAAGTGAAGTGATCGACACATTCCACCACTTCACCCCCTAGCATTAAACCGGGGGTGGTTGCGAACCAGCCCTGAAGCATCATCCCATATCTGACACGTACCGCCGAAGCACACGCCTGACATACTTGCATTTCCGCCCAATGCGTTCACAAGGCCCTGGATTTTGTCACCATCTTAACCTAACCGGACAGTGTGTCTGCAAACTCCAATTCAGCCAGATGACCCACAGGGCGAAGGCCAGCTCCTACAAAGTCTGGCGCACCTAATCGGACATCTATTAGTAAATCAGTGAGGAAGTTGACTGTGACAGACGGTGACAGAACGGTGACAGACAGCATCCCTGGTAAACACTAATAGTTGTAGCCGTTCCATATGACAACTCTCCACAAGCTCTTACGCGGTTGTGTGAGTTCGAGTAGACAGCCATGGTTGGAATTATTCACTTGCTCAGTGGCTCTTGCATGGTCACACACTGCCACAACACCTCACAGTCGACGGAGTCAAATGTCACCTTCAAGTCAAAAAACATGGCAAATGTTCATTGTTGGCCGGGACGTGTTCTGGCGTTCCAGAATGTGTCGCAGGGTAAAAATATAACTGATGAACCCCCATTCAGGTCTTAAACCTGACAGATTCCCTCAAGTTTGCTTCCCTTTGGCTCCGGTTAGGCGATAGATAACAATGGACCCTGGGGTCTTGAAGACAAGGTTAGCTAAATTGATTTCCCCGTGGCTGTCATAGGAAAACTCCTCTTTGTTCTATAGACTACGATGACCGGTGACGTAAGCCGGTCTGATGGCGCTTCACCCAACTCCTAAACATTGCCTAGCATCTCCTTCACTCGAAACATATATTCCCAACCTCCCTACTTGAAAACCTCGGGTGTCGGAAGTGTCGGGTCCTGCTACTATACATTGTTTGACATTCGAAACAGCCTTCCCAACCTCACGGAGAGATGGGGAACCAGTTAGCTTCAACCTGGATGCTGAAAAACTGAGGCGACCCTGTGGGCCGGTTGAACTGTGCTTTAAAATGTTCTGCCCAACATTCTAGCCACCTGTCCTGGGAGCTGACCAGCGTTCCATCCTTTTCGATGATGGTTTACCCATTCATCATCTTCCTGCCTATGGCTTTGGTAAGCCCAAGCGGTTGTTGTGTTGCCCAATGCCAAAACTTTCATCTATTTCTCTGACGTCACTCATCACCATGAAAAATAAGTCAAGGTATGGGTAAGTTGTATTCGCTATTCATTGAGGCCAGAGCCAGTCAGCTGGAGTCAGCCCTCTCACACCAATCAGTTTCGATGACGTTGTAGAAATCCAATGACGTTTGTTAACCTTCAGGTGTAGGTTACTTGCCAACTGTCATTGCCATCATTTCTACAGCAGATCTAATATCACGTCAGGTTTTATCTCGATGAGCATTGCTGTCATTTCCAGATAAATGCGTACCTATCTATTCTCTAAATACATACTTGACGTTCTCATCTTCCAACTGAACACAAACAGGCTTCATTGCCATCTGTCTTCTATGACCACTAAGGCGTAGACATACACGAGTCCGTACTGGTGCATGATCTGAATTCAAACTGGTACTCCAGAAACAAAGCCAATCCTCCACCGATCCTCTCCATTAGTGGTTTGTAGTGATTCCATCCATCTGCATCTCTCATAAGTTTGATGTCGGTGGATGCCATATGTGACATTCTCGCTCTCTATCTCCTGATGTTTACAGTTTCTGCTAACCAGAAACAAGTGATTGTCGGACAAAATTGAAACACACGATCACCGTTGTTAGTTCGTTGGCATCGGCTCCTGTAAATATCTACTACATTACCTTTCTGATTGGCTAACCTGTCATTATGACCACTTCTGAATGTTTTGCTTTCTGTAGCGAAATTGACAGTTTCACATAGAATTCATCCTTTGCGTCATCTGACTACAGTCGGTGAGTGGGTAGACGGAGATCACGAATAGGCATCCGTTGGTCTCACGATCCTCTCTAGTCCTTACAGATCCATTCGGTCAAACAGCACATAGACGGCTGTTGACTGGTATCCAGTCGCGTAGTGCACTTTCTGCCCAACAGCTCAACGCTATGACTACACCAGGGAGTCCATAAGAGCTAGTCATCGGGTCTCTGAATACTCCTAATGTGAATTTTGAAGATTCACCACTATGGTCACGTGAGGTCAATTTAATAGTCAGACTCGGGTCCTGTATACGCGTCTCATAGACCCAACATACATCCATGGATAGAGTTCGGGAAAGCGATGCTTGCTGGCACAGAGTACGGGCGTTGAAACCTCCTACATGAAATCGATGGCGAGGTCTTAGGAGACCAGAAGTGAGGTTTTGTTCGCTTTGATCGTTGACAAAGGTTGCAGAATGGGGTTGGGTAAGGCGTAATAGGCTTAATATCAGTGTCAGGAGGTAAGGCAAGGGAGGAGACAGTTGGAGAGGTCAGGTTATATTTGATTGGGTTTTGTGTACTACTGGAAGTTTGCAGGCGGTTGACAATTCCGGGCCGTCTACCTCGCGGTGGTCTTCTCCTTCTCGGGGAAAAGATTTGTCTGAGGCTGTACACGTGAAAATCTGAATCGAGTTGCGGTGTTCAGAAAATGCAGCTAGCAGTTTCCATCTCTCCTGTCTCGCAATTCCCAATGTAAGTTTTTACGTACGCCAGTGCTTTTCTCTTTTTCTGCTGCATTTGCGTAACATCACGTGTGAGTGCTAACTACTACAGGCGGTTTTAATGCAATCGGAATTCTTCCCAATAGTGGCAGCTTTCCGAGGATCGATCCCTCGCCTACGCTAGTGGTGTCTCTGTGAGAGGAGTGATACCGTCTTAGGCTTCCTAATTCGCTAGAAGGAGGCAGCATTACGCACTTCCCCAGAATCAATGGCCTAGTGTTTGATAAGATACAACATTGATGCTGACCTTGAGAGTTCAACTGGACTCCCTAAGCTGAAGGCACCTGGCCAAGCATCCTTGCCATTTGGCACGCTGTCGCATTGCCTTGCACTACTCGTAATCGACCCCCTAGTCAGTTAGTTGTAACGCATCGGTATCTTGGCACGACCTCACAAACATACTATTCCATTCGACTACGCTGTTGTGTTCTCTCCAGGCCTCGTATTCGTGAGTACACAACAAGTTCGAATAATTAGTGATTGGCCTCCGCGTCCGTCAAGTTTGCACCAGGACAATTCCTAAGTTGGCGGGCCCGACATGTTAACAAACCTCAACGAAGAACAAATCTTAAATTGGTGAGCCTGTTCCATTTTTTACTTGCATACTGTTTTGATTTTGACAAGCTTGATATATCCATATGCAGCTCCTCATGCCGGACCATACTTCAAAGCTTATCTGTATTAAGCCATCGACGAACACTCTCTAGCTTGTTTCTTAATGGCCGGATAATACAGAAACATGGTTTCTGTGCGCCAAGGTAGATTTTCGAGAACAGGGAGTCGCAGATCCTCACTCTAGAT